GGACCTTCCTCTCTTACCTCCTCCTCTCTCTATTCCCTGTCAGCTGACTCCTGATGCAAAACAGCCCTAGGTTTCTTTCCGCTACAGCTGAAAGTGTAAGGCTGCCCAGTGATGTGATGGATCCAGCAACCCTTACACAGGCAGCCTCACAAACCTGCAGCTGCCCAGCTCAGAGTCGACCTCTCCCTCGTCTCTGGTGTCTCATACATTCTGCATGTCGCTCACCCCCCTTGTCTTTCTTTGTGTCAGTGCCTCTCCCCCTCCCATCTGTGTAACCTTGGCAAAACGTCCTGGGAAAGGTTCAGAATGGAAACAAGAAGATGCTGCTGTGCGAGAATGTGCCCTATGAGGTGGGGTGTGTTTATGTACTGGCGTAGGTGAGAGTGCAGCATATACCTGGTGTCAGTGTTGCTTTTCTCTGGAGAGAAGCCAGTGTTCTGGGCCTGAGGCCATGCTGACTGCACTGTGCTCTGTAAAATACACAGTGTGTGTATTTTTTTACTCCAAAGGACAGAGAGGGGAACATAAGACAGTTCTGCTGACTTCCTCCCACAGCCTTCAGCTCACTCTCACTGATTGTCTGTCACCATCAGGCTTTTCATCCAGAGGAGGACACACATTAAAAGGAGCTGCAACAATTAGTCGACTATCAGAAAAATCACCTGAAACTATTTGGCTACCGAGTAATTTTTTATGCAAATGCACTAAAACTCCTGCTGTTTCCAGCTTCACATTTCTGTTTTAACTCACTGTGAACTCAGTGCCTTGGCCTCTGGACTGCAGCTCAGGTGTCACCCTGGACAGTGGTGGAAGGCGTACCCAGAACTTGACGTACCCATTCAATTCTCATCGGCTAATATTTGCCTCTGAACTGTAGTGAAATCAGGAAATAAAATTTTCCTCAAATACAGTTAGTTATACCTAAGTAGAGTACTCGGGTAAATATACTTGGACATTTTTCACTATATTCTGACATTTTATAGACTAAATGATTAATTCACAATGAAAACAAACGTGAGTTGCAGCCTTGCTCTAAACACTGCTTGGTTAATACATGCACACACACAACTAATCATTTTCACTTTATTTTAATAAAAGATAATTGTGTTTGTGTGTACATCTTCACATTATTACAAAAACATTTTCAGAAATATAAAAATGAACATTCATGCACAGTCATCCTGTCAGGTGCACAGACGGACGGAGCTGTAGTGAAACCAGACACTGAGCAACCTGAGACGACAGCGTTCGCTAGCATGCGCTCACAGAGCCTCACTGTAACAACCCAGTGATTTTACTACTGCAACAAGCGGTCAGTGGCTATTTTCATCCATCACAAACACAGGTGTGGTCACCACTGTGCATGTGGCAGAGAGTAGAACAACATGTTTAAAGAATACTGTACAACAAAGACATAATAATATATTCAGAGGATTAGATCCACTGAATAATAGAGAGCTCATTCATTGATGTGTGAATTAACACACAAGAACCAGCAGTTTTACTGAAGATAATCAAAACAAACACAATACAGACTGTGTCCATGTGTTTCTATTTGTGGCAAAACGTTCCAGTAAAACATGTTTTCACTTATTTTCCAAGTTTCTGTGAGATTCCATTGAACCAGCCAAACACTTCTTTACTGTGTGTTAAGTTGAAAATAAACAGACAAAACATTTTGACTGTATTCTGATAGAAATATGTAATGATATACTGTGGGCCCCTGGCTCCAGAACTAACTCACCACTAGGTGGCGCCATGAGCCAGTAAAACGTGGTCAGCGTTACATGCAGCAGGATATGCAGGTCTTCTCAGGGCAGAATTTCTGACACCTAGGGCAATACTTCCTGTTACTAAAGCAGCTAATAATACTACAGCATCTCTGCAGGTTTGTGTTATATTTAAGGCATTTTAAATACCACAAATAATACAATTTAATACCTGTTACATGGTCATACCAGTCACAATATGAAAGATACCAGTAAAACCAGTAGGGATAAAAAAATGTTTCTAAAGAAAATCAGTGAATGGAGGTTAATTGTGTGATTTAAGGTGTGCTACAGTAGCTGATAACAAATGTGGCTGGATCTACAGGATATTTCAACATTACCACAGAGTCAAAGAGCAACCACATTGTACTAGTCGCTCAGCGTGCCACTGCTGGTTGAGCTAGAAAAGATCACAGCATCACCGCTGTGTAAAATCACTCCCCATCACAAAACTTCTCTCAGTAGTAACTGATCTGAACTAACTGTCTGCTTTTGGCTAATCCCGTGAATAAAATCCAGGACAAATCATGAAGGGACCTCCTCCCACATGCAAATGTCTTATAACTCCAATGTGGGAACAAAACAATCCTGCTCGATATAGCTAGCCTGGTAGAAATAGTAAAGCAAAAGTATAATGTCATAGCAGTAAATTAGAAACACACTGAAGATTTCATTCATGTCCTCACATTTCTGTGATGCCCATCACCACCAGTAAACACCATCCCAACACTTATGTGTGACAACAGGAGTTGTTCTGGTAGAAATGGAGTGGCGGTTCCTTTTTAAATATGGATTACTCCGTACTGACCTTCAAAGTTCAGTGTCTTCAATGGCCTCTGGGTCATCTAGGGTGTTCAGACGTCTCTTGCAAGCCTCTAGCAGTTTCCTCCGGGGGCCCAAAGGGATGTGAATGCTGGCGAGGTCCTGGTCTGAACAAAGGAGCAGAGCATCAAGGTCAATCTTCTCCTTTCTGAAGATTGGCAAAAACTCACTGAGGCTCTGAGAGGCCAGAAAGGTCTCTAGAGGATTGTTCTCGGGCTCCAGGTCCTCATCCAGCTCAATATCAGTCTCCTCCCAGGGCAACTCCTGTTGGTTTCTTTCTTGCAGACTCAAAGCGCTGCCAATGCTGACCTCATCAAGGCTGGGCGACCGCAGAGGAAGATGTCCACGTAGACGAACATTAGGTGCCCGGCCCGCAGGCTCACTCCCTACTACGCTCCCTTCATCCTGTGCCCGGATCCCAAACATGTCTCCGCTCATATAGTTCCTCCTGAACACCATGGTGCCGAGCCCAGGACGAGTGAACAGGGAGTCACGACCAGAGTCTGCGCTGATCTCTGAATACGCAGCCTCATGGAGGCCCGGGTCACTCATGGCACGGAGGACACTGGTGGTGTCATCGTCATCTCCTCTAGGGAACATGTCACGTATGTTGAGGCGTGACCTCTCTTTGGCGTTGGCGTAGGTGCCCTGTTTGAGGAACATGACATCATTGCCGAGCTGTAGGCCAGAGAGCGAGCGCACACTTTTCCTGCCATCTTCATAGATCTTGAATGTTCCATCACCCTGCTTCTTCTTCTCCAGCTTCTTCTGTATCTTGGCCTTTCCCTTGGCTGTGGAGTGCAGTGTGGCCTGAGAGTAAAACACAAACATTCAGTATGAAGAAAATATGCTAGACCACTGGGTGAATAAACCAACATGAATTTCAATAATGTGTGTGATTTAGCACTGGAAGTTCTTATTCAGAATTCAAAAGATTCTTTTTAATGTAAGACTAAATATTCCTACTGTAATGAAAACATACAGTCTGAGAGTACATCAGAACAAGTTGTTCACCTTATGGTCCAGCAGAAAGGTTGACCTGTGCTAATGAGTCAGTAAACCAAGCTAGTAAATAACTGGAATTGCCACCTTGTAGTTGTATGCCTCCACCAAAAAAACATGTTTGCCAACTATGGAAAATGCAGCTTTGCATCCTGAGATCATTAGCATGTAAGACTACCTGTTCACCTTTGTTTGTGGAAAAGTTTCCTTTACAAAAATCTCATAAAACTGTGAAAAAAGAATTTTACAGAAGACAGCCTATCTGTTCATGGCCCTCGTGGACTTCTTTTGTACCCAAGACAAAATCCTAAGTATGAGGAAAGTGGTGAGCACCACAAACTGACACTACACCAACACAGTGAGTAAGAATTTGCCTCAAAACTGTACTAAACAGTATGTTTTTGTATTAATGATGATAATAAAATGACTATGAAATTGCCTGGCTCCCTCTGCCCTCTGAGTTCAGTGGAGCTTTTCAGTATCTTTCAGCTCATTGTTTTGGTTTAACCCACAACTTCACAGTTTTTGTTCAACTCTCTCACTGCTCTCATGGCAGCAGGAGGCTGTTTTCAGCAAAAAAGTCAGTTGAACCCACTGTCCACAGCCTGCTCAGCTCCAAACAGCAGCCTGACACAGTGAGCACCTAGGTGGTGAACGCTGCAGAGCGCTCAGCAGCTAAAGCACCAGAAAAATCCACTAAGCAGCTGTTAAAGACCAAACACAACTAAATGGTGACTGAATCAGGGGTTTACATTTGTCCGGTGGTAGAATCACAAAACAAAATGAATGCTAATGTTGCTCTGCTGAATGTTTAACTAGAAAACTATTTACTAGCAAGTTTATTTTAGCAACGTTATGCTGTGACATGTAAATGTTGTGTTCACAGGTTGTGTTACCTCTAAGGGGCTGAAAAACAATGAACTAACACTGCTTTAACACTTATGGGGCTGAATGTTGAATGCTAACAAAATGATTCCTGTTTTTAATCACTTTCAGAAAGAGTGCTGAAAAGCCTCTCTCACAGCTAACTGAACAGAAGTTAACACTCAGGCTCAGCTGGATTTTATTTGTTAACACAAGGCCAAAGAGCCTCCACCTGCATATATGGCATGTTGGAGGTGGCAGTGTTAAACTTGCGGCTCAGTGTGCTGCTGCTGGTGTAGCTGCAAAAGCTAATAGCATCCAGGTTGTCTAAAGCCGCAGACTCCTTCATGAACTTCCTCTCCATGCGTTCATGGTGCTTCCTCTGGAGCTTCGCGCACTCTTTGATCCGGCGCTCTGCAGTGCGAAATGCACGGTCCTTCAGTTTGCTGACCAGTTTCGGGTTGAGAGTGATCTGCTTGGCAGCAATGGAGTCCAGGTAGCGGACACAGTCCATGTGGCTCTTGGTTGCGGCCATGTCCAGTGGTGTGTGGTAATCATTGTCCAGACACCACACGTTGGCACCGAAAGCCACCAGGAAGGACAGGCAGTTCTGGTGGCCGTTGGCAGCTGCCAGGTGAAGCGGCGTGTTCCCCCAGATGTCACACTTGTCCGGGTCTCCTCTGGAAGACAGAGGAGGAGACAGACAGCCATGATGGAACTCCACAGTACTGAATTCACACATATTCGATTACTAATCTTAAAAGGATCCCAGTGTTTGAATTCATTAATTTCAAATAAAGTTCACCATAGTCTGGGTGTGCTCAGTTCAAATGAAGGGACATCGTAATGCTTAAACAATGGTTGGCCTCCACCTCTGTGGGAACCGTTTAGGGAAGGTGCTTTAAATGCAGACAGTTAATCCCCCACATTGACCATCGTGTGTGCCTTTTGGGTGTCAGAGTTTTGTTTTATATGATGATTCAGACTTGAAAAGTCCGCTCTGTTACTATGTAATTTTAAAGTTATTATTGACAATAAAATGAACTGTGAGGACACCTTACAACAACATACTGTAAGTTATTAAAAAAAAAAAATCTTCTCACTGCAGATCCCCATTGCACTCTGACTTCCCATCTTTGAAAATGCAGAAACAGACTTTTTACACATACTCAGTATCCAGGTTTTCTACTCTTTGCCTTCTCTGGAGCCAGTTACATAGTGGCATTACTTGGTATTAGTGTTTCAGTCTTTGTGCTAAGTCAACACAACTCTTTATAAATGGTGCCTGATCACAGAGTGGTGTGGTGACTCATTTCACCTCCACTTCCTGTTTTCCCTCCTCCACATGGCCGGGCTGTGACTGAGACCTGATCAATAATTAAAACACAGCCCAGGTATGACAGAGGTGACCTTGCATTATTCATCCCACACACCAAGCCTTTTTCACACACGCCCACAGACGCCATGAGCACACACCTCAGCAGGATCAGCACCTTTATCAGCATGAACCCTGGTTTCAGTTCCTGCCTGCGACGCCACGTCCTGGCAAAGACACAAACCACTACAGAGCAACAGCGTGTGTGGTTTACCTTAGTGCTCATAGCACTGTACTGTGCTTCATTGTGTTTCATTGTCAGCAGTATGAGCAGATTATATTGCAAAAGTATGAGTTAGAGTTCTATTACTGCATTAACACAAAAGAGGAATCACTCATAACTGTCTCAGATAATACTTTGGATTACCTGCAGCTTTGCCAGGAGTCCTGAGTCACGCAGTGACCGACCTCCCACAACACAAACAACCACCTGTTTACTAGCAACATGTAGAGCAGAGTGTGGACTGAAATCTGTTTGTGGTATGAGTGCAGACAGTTCCCACGGCCAGGCCAACCCATCGGGGGGCCCCACAAACAAAAGTGTGCTTGCTGAACGTCCGCTGTTATTGACAGTCCTCAAGCTTCTGTCGAGCACTGAGCAGGCAGCAGACTGCACACGGCAGCCTCATTATGAGAGGTGCCGAGCTCCAAATGCTGCTCATTATTTGGCCGGAGACCCAGAAACCAGTCAGACTGGATTTAAGAACTCATACAAGACAAAAACCTCACATCACATACTTTAACACACCAGGATATAAAACAATAAAAAATACAAGGAAAGAAAAGGAGATGTAATACAAGTAAAAAGTATTAGTAATAAAAATAGAAGTGTGCCCACAGGGATGCTACTGTATCTGTTCCACAAACAGCTAAAACATCCACTGTATTCAAACCCTCACCGTGTCATAGCCAGTAATAAGACCACCACTTTAGTGTTTTTGAAATTAAAACCAGCCTCCTGGTCATGAACCTGATTGTGATATGTTTCAGCCTTTTAAAAGATGATTGTGCTTTTAGCCACACGGCAGTTTGACTCTAGGGATCTGTTGACCAGTAAATCACTTTGGTCCGAACTGAAATACTGTACCTCATATTGGATGAAGGGTAAGGAAACGTTGTACAGACATCCATGTTCCCCAGAGGATGGGGTGTTCCAACTGTGATAATCCCTTGACTTTTCCCGCATGTTCACACTTCGCACTTAGTAGACGGATCAGCACAAATGGTTGCTACAAGCATTCATGTTTCAGTCAGAATGAACTTGGCAAACTCATCTGACTTTTCACTTAACACCAAAACTGTAATTTGCCCACTAACGTTGTTCTGACCAAATACAAAACTAATGGCATTCCCATCAGCCTCAGCTGTACTTTGTGCTAATTTGCAAATGTTAGCATGTTAGTGTGTATTAAATCCAGACTAACTTTACATACTAAGGATCAAGTTACAGTTACATCATAGAAATCAGCTGAGAAAAGCCAGTCATCATCTTTTTAGTGTTGCATTTACAGAAGATGTTCACATGAGAAGGGCCATAAATGGCTCCTTTCTCACCTCCACACAATTGAACAGCCCATCCATCCATTATCTATACCGTTTATTCCTGAATAGGGTCACAGGGGGCTGGAGCCAATCCCAGCTGACACTGGGCGAGAGGCGGGGTCCACCCTAAACTGGTCACCAGTCTGTCACAGGGCTGACATGTAGACAAACAACTGCACAGACTCAGTCCTAAGGACAGTTTAGTCACCAGTCAACCTAAGCTGCATGTCTTTGGACTGTGGGAGGAAGCTGGAGCACCTGGAGAGAACCCACGCAGGCCCAGGGAGAACATGCAGACTCCACACAGAGTCCTCAGCCAGGTGCTGGGGTTAAACATTTTTAAAAGCCCATAAAGAGAAAACAAATGCAGTGTCATGTATCTGAAACTACTTTGTTCTTCTGCAGCTCTTTCTTTGGCTAGTATCTACTCTGCACTGCATCCTGCAGGGTCTGCTGTGGGGAATCGATGCCCAATCCATCACCGTGACCTTTCCTATGTCGGCAGCATCAAACTCAGCTACTCTCCACTTTACTGCTCGCCTCATAAACCTGCCACCAGCAGCAGCATGACATACTGTACTCTACCCTCCTGTTATCTGCTGCCATAGAGAACAGGCAGCAAATATTACACTGCTTCATCTGCTTCTTAATCTCCAACAAAGGCTTCTCTGATACAGTATCTACAATTTTTCTCATCAGAATAGAGTCTTTTATGATTATACTTTTACAAATACATACAGCAGTATACACTCTCTGACCGGGGTGTATGAGTGTGCACGGAGCGAGTAGCGTTTAGAGCAAAGCCAAAGAGAGGAGATTAGCTACAGTCAGTTTCGGTAAAGACGTGATGGCCTTTCAGCAGTTGGTCGGTATGAAAACGACTTCTGTATTGTCACTGAATCAGAACATGACCTGATATTACTGGATCTGCATGAGCTACATCTGTGAGGTTAAACGTAATGCTGCCATATTACTGTCGGCTACTCAAGCAGCAAACGTACCTTTTTGGGAGTGTGTACTACATGTTTCAGCTTTAAGGGGGATCTCCTGCTGCAAGTGACCTTTCTTTGTAATTAGGCTGTTAAATTGTATAAGCCTCCATCTCCAGTAGCACTGATTAGATTAGAGTTTGAGGCAGCAGTCAGCACAGGTGGCCCCGTGGTTTTATTTCTGTTAGAACAAGCAGTGAGGTGAGGTTAAACAGTAAACAGATTCATATTTTCTATTTAATTAGAGTCAAGGATTCAAAAAGCTATTTTTTTCCTCAATTGATCAATGTTTTGTGTAAAAAAGTCAGGGTCTGCATCATTTACTGCCTGTTTATACTGCTTATTTTGCATTGTTTGCATGGTTTGTTGCTTGTTAGTACTGCTTATTTTGTTATACTACACAGCCTTATGTTGGTTTACTGTTTACTTGCCCCTTGCATGGATATGTACATGCACATTGAGAGCCGATGTACCACAGTCAAATTCCTAGTGTGTCTGACACACCTGGCCAATAAAGCAGATTCAGATTCTGAAACATTCCACATTCCTGTCATCCGCAGGTTCAAAAAGTATTCACCTTACTTTCATATCAGACTAAGGAAAATATATACACTGGAACCAGAGAATTCCTCAAAAAATTAGTCAGTTATTAGAATAACTGATAATTCATTTTATATCAACTAACTGATAATTCGACAACTCTAGTGACAGAGCCAGAGATATGTGTGTAACATACTTGGCCAATAAAGGTGATTATTATACTGGGAATTTCTAAACATACTATAACTTTTTTCTTTCAAAATCTTTTACATTTCATTAACTAACAGAATGGTTTTTGTGACTACTTTGCCACAGGCATTAGTCCTATAACTAAAATAACACTTTGCCCCCGGGTCTCTGGACTCACCCTCTCCCCACGATGAGCCGGAGAGCCTCAAGGTTGCCGTGGTAAGCGGCCCATAAGGTCGGTGTCATCCCATCCTCATCCGGTGCGTTCAGCTCCTTCCGTGTGGCCTCCTTCAGCACGTCCAGGTAGCCGTCCCGGGCCGCCCGGTGGTACCGGTCGTTCATGGCGGCGCCCCTCGGCTCACTCGGACTTCGGTTTCATGGAGGACTGGACGTTTTGGCCCGTTATATGGGGAACTTTTAGACCGGGATGGTGCAGGTCCGGCCTATGGAGGGGCACGGAGCTGGCTGGCAGGCTGGTTGCTAGGAGACGAAAACGAGGCGTGTCTGATGTCAGGCATTGGGCGGGGCTACGACGGCAAAAGGCCTGCCCCTCAGAGACCAAGTCATTTTGACAGGGCAGGTTTATTCATTGACATAAGGATTTAGTTTTGAAACGCAGAGTTTTGGGTGAGGTCTGTTTGCTGATGAACAGTGTTGCGCTGTATGACGAAACTGCTGTGACAGGTGCATATTTAACTGAGGATCAGGGTCAAAGATGAGGCGCCAACGGTCCACTTATAAATAATCTCCTCCTGACTGAAACAGTATGGCTTATACTGTTTGATAAATAACAGGCCGGGATGTGGCAAATATCCGTCTATTGTTGAACACTCCTATAATCGCTAAATGTCAGTGGGTGGCTCCCTGTTCCAATCCAGAGTCATAGGATAATCACCTTTATTTGGTAAATAACTTTATTTGGCCAAGTATGTTACACACAAGGAATCTGTTTCCGGTACAGAACCGATGGCAGCCATCTGCGGCGCCAACTCAACCGATGGCTCTGACCATCGGGGGTAACGGGGGGCGCTGGGGTTCAGTGTTTTGCCCAAGGACACCTCGACATGTGGACTGTAGGCACCGAGACTCGAACCTTCAACCTTCCGGTTGGGAGACGCCTGCTCTACCCACCGCACTGTCTCCTCCATCTGTTTTACACTGGGTCAGCACATCTGGGATGAAACTGTCAACAACGGACAGGCCACTGTGTTGGACGAGCACCGACCTGGACTTTACACTAACGGTGACACGAGTGGCTCAGAGCGCAGCTCACGGACCCTTTCAAAGTAAAATAAAGTAAACTTTCTCAACATCTGGAGCAAAGAAGTAAAGCCTGTTCCAGTGGCACAAAAAAGGGCAACATTAAAAGCAAACGAGAGAATATTTTTCGCTTTTCTGGGAAAGGTGTGCTATTGATTCGTTGCCACGCCTACAGCAGCATGGACAGGTAGAGAAAAAGATTTCTTACCTGTCAGTCACGCCTTTGCATGTTGAGCAACAGCATTTCAACTTACCTGTGAATGCATGAGAGGAAAGCGTGGAAGCTGCAGAAAGAGTATCAGACGAACTGACAAGTGTCTGTGGAAGGAGCTACAGTAAAAATCTGAACGGGCTATGGACCGAGATCCCGGAGCCATAGGGCTGAGTTCCTTCAGAGAGACACCAGAAAATCCCGCAACTGACGAGCTAGACAACCAGCTCCGGATCCAGGATGAGGATCCAGGGCAGACTTGGGTTCTCTACGGCCAGCGTCTGACCTCGAGCCTGTTGGGTTTGAATGTGGTCCTACTGGGGGCGGCTCTGGTAGGTGGGCAAGCTTTCGACTCCAACGCGCTCAAGTACGAGGAACCCCAGGTGTTCATTCTGCTGCTGGTGGGGATCAGTTTGATCTGGATTCTCTGGTATCTGCTGTGGGTCCGGAAGCAGCCCGGCATCAACCCGCACAAAGACCACCACGCCGGGGGAATCACTGTCATCTGTAAGCTCCTGTCCTGTCACCAAAATATAATACAGTATTGTTTTGTGTAACGTTCTTGTGGTTCTGCTCTGTCCCAGCTGTCCTCATAGTTTTTGCTTCAGTTAGTCTGCTGCTGCACATCTTCAGGACCGGTTATCTGATGAGTGTGAAGGAGTGCACGTCGGCCCCTACACTGATCTCTCCATTCATGGAGGCTCCCTTTCTAGCACTGCAGGTGGGTTGTGGTAGAGACAGTTCTGGTGTTTGGAATTCAACCAAAAGTGGCTGAAACTTTAGCAAAGACCAAAAAGAAAGAAAGAAAATTTAAGCAAAATATTTGACTGTTTAAAAGGTACTTGTGAAGTCAGTTTTGCGTGGTATGTACATCATGGACACACAGCTAGTGACCTTTGGAAGCGAGATCAAGTGGAGCAGGGGTGGGAAATCCCAGCCCTCAAGGGCCATTGCCCTGCTCTTTTCACCTGGATCAGGTGTGTTCAGTCAATCAGAAGCTGGAATATACCATTTTAGATGAAGGTGGTGTGAGGGAAGACAAAGAGGATCAGTATCTTGTAACTTCTGAATACCTGGATCCGGTGTGTTCAGTCAATCAGCAGGGGGTAGGGCTGGAAAACAAGCAGGGCCCTCTAGGGCTGGGATTGGCTACCTCTGGTTTAACGATTACACAAACTCATCTTAACGCACAAAGAATACATTAATATTTTTAGATCTATTTTTGATTTTCATGGAATGAAAACTACAAAAAGATAAGTCTAAAATGCTAAATTTCTATACACTCATCAGGTTAGACTACAGTGCTAGAGATGGGTTAAAGCTGAATTTGTGCTGACAAAGTGTTGCCATAAACATTAAAAAGAAAAAACTACAAAAATGTCCTAATATACAAAACCACATAATCTTAGCTCAAAGCTTCACTTAGCTTTTTTCTGCTCTTCCAGCTGTGTGGTCTTCATCGTGTCATTGCAGGACCTCATGTTCCTAAATCAAACTGTTAAATTTAAATTCCTGAAGAACTTGAGATAAATGACTGCTTAACTAAACCAGCAGTTATTAGTTGATAATGTGAAAACAGACTGAATACATATATAATTAATATTACCAAGACAGAAAAGTAAGGATTTCTCTTCTCTATTGAATGCAAATCATAAATGCAAACATGCCCGTAGGGTCCAACATTTTTAGGCTCATTATTTTCATGTCTCCCTTAAATTTCAGTCCTTTATTTTCATTGCAGCACTTTGAGATTTGTATTATAAAAGGCCTTTGATAAATTACTATTTAATTTCCTACTCATTTGTTCTAAAGGCTAATTCAGAGGTGGCCTTATGAAATATCTGCTAATTGTTTTATAATAAGCTTTAGGGTGTGTTGATTGAGTCTTGACCTGAATTGCCAGCCTTTGATGAATTTAACCTTTGGGGATAATACTGTTACCTTTGACCTTTATCCTTACAGACATATTTACTGTGGGTTCACTCCAAAGACTGCATTCACAAACACAAGATGATCACCAGGTGCATCACTTTATATCTTTTACACATTTTAATATATGTCCAAGTTAATAGTGAATGATTATTTCCAGCTTGAGGTCTATGTAACCTATATCTCATATTTGCACTTTGTACCGGCTGCAGGTTGGGGCTGATGGTGGTCCTCGCTGCTGACCTGCTGCTGTGGCTGAACGCAGTGACTGAGGACTCTATCCACACTCAGATTGAGTTGGAAAAGAATAACAGCAACATCATCTCATCTGAAGATGACAGCTCTAATTCAGATGGTAGATAATCCAACAGAGGCAACTTTTTTGTTTGGTAGAAAGTCAGTCAGGACAGTAACTCACAAAGCACTGTAGTGCTAGAATAGTTTCTATCCTGTCAGTAATCTGTGAGACCACTTGTAGATCATCAGTCATCAGCCAACGTATCAGCCATCTGCCAGAGTTACCTGTCAAACAAAAGCTGTGCTCACAGATCCTACACTAAATAACGATCAAAAAATTAACAGCACAATGCTCAAAGAGACGAGAAAGAAGAGTAACAGTTAAAGGCTTAAATCAGTGACTGCAGCTGGCTCACATCTCTGTTGGTGAGTCTACCACATACACGTTATGTTGCATGTCCATGAAGGAAACAGATGCTCTTCAGGCAAACATCACTGCACACCTGAAGTTTGCCACAGAGCAGCTCGACACCACAACACTGCTGGAAAAATGTTTAGTGGGCTGATGAAACTCGGGCAGAATGGTTTGCAGCACTAACATAAAAACATCATCCCAACAGGAAAGTACGGTCCAGGGACGTGACGTGGGGCTGCTGGGAATTAATCCCTAAGTTTATCAAAGTATCTGCCAGGATAATATCAGGGTTACTGAAGCTCAGTAGAAGTTGGTTCTGCAGCAGGACAATGACCATAAACATCAAATGAAATCTGCCACAGAATGACTTTGGGCAGAGAAAATCCACCTTATGGCGGGACCCAGTGGAACCCAGACCTTAACGCAACAGAATACTCACACCAGACATGTTGAGAGCGTGTCTGAGCTGAAGCAGTTCTGTCAGGAAAACAGTCCACAACCTCTCCTGAACCTTGAGCTGGTTTGAGGCTATTTCTGCCGGAGGAGGTTTGACCAGTTATTCAGTTCAAGGGTTCAGTCAGTTTTTTCCACTATCACTATGAATGTTTAAAGGGGATGTGCTTAAAATACTGTGTTTTTAGCTTAAGCACATTGTGTTTGTCTATATGATTGACTTAGATGAAGATCAGATCACATTTTATGACAAATTGATGCCAAAAGCCAAAGAATTCCAGTTCCATTCTTTACCTTTTCATGCCACTCTATTTGTCCAGATACATTTAACTGTGTATTGATAAATATTCAGACTCAGACCAGTCACCTGTCAGTTTTCTTAGTCAGACTAGATGCCACCATTTAGAACTCCTCCAGTGGTACATTCAAGCCTTAGAATCTAAAGTTTACCCTCTGTGAATACAGTGCTAGAAATGCCTTTATACAGTGGAGAAACTTCACAGGTGTCATCGTGCACCTTTGCCTTATACTCTACATTGTAATAAGTGGATTTCTCCATGTCTGCCTCCAGATAATTCAACCTTGTGTAAGTGCAATACAGCATCCTGCCTCATCTTCAGGAAAGGCTTCGAGATCCTTTATCCTTTCAACATCGAGTACTACCTGATGGCAAGCTGCATGATCTACGTGATGTGGAAGAACGTGGGCCGCAAAACCGGTGCGGATCACCACACCGTCACTCAGAAACTGACCCTCCATATCATCAGCCAAGGCAGGGTCATATGTGGCCTCGTGTTTGGGACCCTGGCACTCCTATCTGGAATGGCCATCTTCATTCTGTACCAGGTGTGGGTGAGCCAGCACGACCTGCGCTTCACCGCCTTCCTCATGTTCTACAGCTATCATCTGGTCATCATGCCGCTCATGTCTCTCTGCTGCCTGGTTGGGATCCTGGTCCACAAGCTGGAGAGGAGGGCACATATAGGGGGACACAACCCCACTCTGAAGCTGGATGTGTTCCTCCTGGTGGGGGCAGCTGTGGGCCAGATCGCCCTCTCCTACTTCTCCCTGGTGTCGGCCCTGGCTGTGGGGACTGGGGGGCTCTTGGGGGACCTGGACCTGTCCTACTCCCTCCTCAGCCTGCTGGAACTCATCCTCCAGAACATCTTCATCATCGAAGGCCTCCATAGGCACCCACATCTGTCTGTCAAGAAGAAAGGGAAGCAGAAGGGAAATTTATTCAAGGTACCTGCACTTAGTTTTGAAATATTGTGCAAACTGCCATGAAAAGGTTTTATTTAAATGACAAACTGTCCCACAGTTTAAGAAAAAGCCTGTTACACCAGCACAGGAGGGGATGGTCCCTGACACTTCATCGCTGAAGGGAAACACATCAGCACCCCCTGCTGACCAAGAGCATGATGGGGAAGTGTCCTGGACCAAAAGGGTTATACAAGAAATCTGTGCTTTCCTCATCCTTTCTAATATCATGGTAATGTCATGTAGGTTTGTTAGCTCATTTAAAAAATATACATCTGTAATTTGTGCATTTATGTCTTACCACCCCACTTTCTGTTCTTCCAGTTGTGGGTCATCCCTGCTTTTGGGGTCCACCCCCAGTTAGAAGACGGCCTGGGGAAGCAGTTCTTTGGCTTCAGCGCTTGGTTCATCCTGGTGAATCTGGGCCAGCCACTCATTGTGTTCTACAGGATGCACTCTGTGGCAGCTTTGCTGGAGGTGCTCACCCACACATGACCAGCAGCAGTGGTCCAACACAGACTATACAAGGATGGACAATTACACAGTGGGCCCTTGAGCACACACATGTAAAGCCTCCCCCTACAGTTCTAGGAGCAGCACTCACAATTTGAGCAGCCACATCTGTTTTTAGCCATTCGGCATATCTTTGTAATTACTTTGAACCAATTTTTCATCTTTTTTTTTTTTTTACTATGCAATTCTTTGTAGTTGTAGGCTGCTCAACGGGGATGTGTTGGATTTTTCTATATGTAAAGTACCTTGAGATGATTCTTGTTATTTGGCACTATACAAATAATGAATTGAGTTTTATCTAAATGATCAGACTCTTAATACTGATGCATTGTGTATACAGCATTTTACTGTTGTAGCTGCTCAAGATGGAGCTACTGTATGTATAGATAGCTAGCTGAGTGCAGTGGTTCCCAGTCAAGGTCTCAGCCCTCTTCAAAGGGCCACCAGATGAAGGGGGGTCTAAATTCTAAACTAAATTGTGATGCAAGTAAATTCTTTTCTTAACTTTTGTCAGTTAAATAAAGGTTTGAGCTAATTAACAAATCACAGCTTTTCAGATTTTAGCTTTTACTGCATTTTAGAAAATGTCCTGACTTTTCTGGAAATGGGGTTTGTACATTACAACTACCTCAGAATTGTACTTGGGTACATTACTTGGGAAAATGTACTCAAGTTACCTTTGACCACTGGGGAACTGGTGCAGATCCCCGCAGCCAGGTTCCAAAAGCTGGTGGAAGTATTCCCAAAAGAGTGGAGGCTGTTAAATGACGTGCAATTATCGTGAATAATGTTGGTATCCACATACTTTTGGACATATAATTATAAATACAGTGGGTACGGAAAGTATTCAGACCCCCTTAAATTTTTCACCCTTTGTTATATTGCAGCCATATGCTAAAATCATTTAAGTTC